GTGTGTGTGTGTGTGTGTGTGTGTGTGCGTGTGTGTGTGCGTGTGTGTTGTCCAGCAGGTGGCGCTGTTGAGTCTCTGCTGATCTGCGCTGCTGTGTGATGCGGGTCTGTGGGCGGAACCATCAGTCTTTACACACACACACACTCTCTCTCTCTCACAGCAGAGGTCTGCGCTCTCACACTCATCGGATCTGATCGGACTCGAGTGTTTCTCACGGTAAGTCACACTTTGTCTTCTCTCATTACAGCAAGTTCAAAAACAATGCAGAAGAACCAGCAGCCTGAAGACCAGACAATATCACCATATATTATTATTATTATTAAAACAATCATGTCATATCATCAGCAGCAGCATATGATGATTCTGTCTGATGACGAGCTTCACGAGGTCTGATTTCTTCGTGCTGCTGCTGATGAAGTCTGTGTTTGCACAGCGCTGTAATCTAATGGCTGTAGTGATGAGGATGAGCTGATGGGTGAAGTTTGAGCTGGTATTGATGTGTCATTGGTAAAGGTCAGCTTCTGCTCTCCAGTGTTTGGCTTGTGCAGATCTGTCCATGAACCTGTGTGATGTTGTAATGATTCACTAGTGTCCTATGATGCTTTTAAAAAGAGACGCAGGTCATGATTGATGCACTGTGAGACTCTCGCGGTCCGGTCTGTCGATTCAGAGCGATTTAATGTGTCATATGATGTTTTGTGTCTGGATATCAAACTCGTGATCTGCACTTTGTTCATGTCACGTTCTTCCAATTGAGCTAAAGGACTCCACAACATCCGACAGGATGACCGCACGCTTACTACTGGCTGAGCTTGTCCTTCATCATCATCATCATCATCATGTCTTCATCCACTCCAGTCTGGGATCTGAACTTCAGAGCACTTTATCTCACATCATCTCATCTGCACTGCAAAAAATGATTCCTCCTCTGCATGCCTCTCTTGTTATATCTAAACATTCCTAATTCAAGACACATTTACTTGAGAAGCAAAATTAATTTTGTATTAAAATTACGCTTTCGTTTAGAACAAATATCTGCCAACATGATCAGAAAAATGAACTTAATTTAAAGAGAATTTAAATATTTTCTGACCCCATTTGGCAGGATTTTCCATTTTCAAATTAGAATTTTCGAAAACACATTTGATACATTTAAAAAAAAAAAACGAGACTTAATATCTTTAAAAACAAATATCTGCCAGTGTGGTCAGAAAAATAAGGATTCGAAATTTCAAATTTAAAAATGTTAAAAAACACGTTTTTCAAAAAAACAACAACAACAACTTAATATCTTAAAAATAAATATCTGCCAGTGTGGTCAGAAAAATAAGGATTCGAAATTTCAAATTTAAAAATGTTAAAAAACACGTTTTTCAAAAAAACAACAACAACAACTTAATATCTTAAAAATAAATATCTGCCAGTGTGGTCAGAAAAATAAGGATTCGAAATTTCAAATTTAAAAATGTTAAAAAACACGTTTTTCAAAAAAACAACAACAACAACTTAATATCTTAAAAATAAATATCTGCCAAAAAATAAGAATTTTTCGTTTTCAAATTCGAATTTTCAAAATTCTCAAATGTTATGTTTGTTTCTCAAGTCAACGTATCTTGTTTCAAGAACGATTTACTGGAAAACCAGACAAAAATACTGAGTAAGAACCTGATTTTTTGCAGCGCGGATAATGAGATGAACATGTGAAAAAAGGCAAGAAGGAGATCCTTCAGTGACATTTAGGTTCCGATCATCTCATCCAGATGCTGTAAAACAGAAGATCATCGACGTCGTTTATAATGAAGATCTGTTGTTTTACGTCTGTCATCTGTTTCAGGTGGAGATGATGCTGTCGCTATGGTGACTGCGTCCGCTCTGTGATTGGCTCGTTCTGCTTGCGTCGTCATGGCGAAGAGTCCAGAGGTGAAGCTGGCTGTGTTCGGCAGAGCAGGAGTGGGAAAGTCCGGTGAGAGCGAGACGGCGTTATCACGATCAAACATCACGACACTCTGTTAATACATGAACTATATAAATGAATATCTCATGATGAAGTAAATCCATCCCTGATATTTCCATTAGACCGTCCTGCTGTCGTCTGAAGTTCAACATTAGTGTGAATTTACAGGGTTTCTGCAGGCTTTAAGTAAAGATGTCTAAAGATTCTTAAATCAAGATGCATTTACCTCAGAAGCAAAATGTCTTAATATTAGTCTTTTTCTGAAAAACTGATCACATTCAAGTACGTTTGTAGTTAAAATTCAAATAGTTAAAATCTGAAATTCAAAGGGAAAACAAGATTATTTTTCAGATATTTTATTGTTTCTCACTTAATTTCGATCAATTATTTAGAAAACAAGTGATAATATATTATATTTAAATATAAAATTATTTATTTAAATGTGTTATTAATAACATTTTAAATTACGGTGACAAAAATAAGGGATATTTTCCACTTTTTATGAGGGCACTAACCTTATTAAATGTGTGCACCAACTTTCATATATGTATTCAATAAATGCAATTAGAATAAGACACTATAGGGCTGTTACCAGTCAAATTAAATGTATATCAACAAAATCCATCTGAGCTGCATCTGAAGAGGCATTAGATGAGTGTACACAGCTCAGAGATGCCATGAATGCATTTACACTGCAGAAGTTTTTATGTTAAATATAACATACAGAGCTATTAAAAAAAGCTTTAAATATGAAACTGAAATCACTGATAGGTGGCGGTTTTCTAAAGTGTTTTTGAAAAATCACATACCCTACCTTTAATGAATGAGTCATTGATTCACTGATTCATTCAAAACGGCTGATTCATTCAGAAACAAAGCAAATGTTTTTACTATTTCTCTTACTCTTACTATTTCTGCTATAGAAAGGTATGCTAAAATAGTAAGAGTAGTATACTAGGTATGCAGTTTGGAATTTAGTTGTTGATTCATTCAGAAACACTGGTGCAATGATTGGCGACAGTCTAAAATGAACATAACATTAACATTTTTTTATTTAGTTATTATATATCATTGTATAAAGTGTAAAATAACAATCTTGAAAGGAGGACAAGTGAGTAGACGGACAAAACCGGACTGATCTGAATCTGTAAAGTGATTCGTCACGGTTTTAGGGTCTGAGATTAATAATAGCACACGGGATGGGAAGCAGTGTGATTTCTGCATTAACTGTGAGTGCAGTTCAGGTCGTCAGTCTGAGACGGAGCAGTTAGACGACGGAAAAAATGCGAGTGTTTGTGTTACGCTGGTTAATCTGTCCTGTAGCCGTGATGGAGATGCTGCTGAGCAGCGTTTCACGCCAAACGTCCAGACCACCAAAGATCCAGCCAGACGCTCGTGACTTCATAAATATCAGCCTGCAATAACACGAGGGGAGTTACGGCCGCAATACTGATGCGCACACACTGAACACACATCAGACAAAAGCAGAGAGAAACATTAAAAGCGCTTTAAAACCAATCTATTATGTGCTATTATTCACGTCAGTGGCTGACATCTCGCACAGGAAATTGAACGTTGAAGCGGCAATAAAATTAGTGACTCGAGATGACATTTTTCAGAGACCTGTGCGCTTTGACAGGAGGAAATGCTAAAGATAACACACACACACACAGTGGAGGCAAATGGCGGCTGAATGAAGCCACCTGACGGCTGATTTATCGGCTAATAAATGTGACCTATTTTACGCTGGAGGACCATGACGTGTTCCAAAATATGAGTTTATTTTAGATTGAATGAATAAATCAGAAGTGTCAGCTTAAGCACGTGTAGCAACACACGTTTACAGGGTATCTGATATTTTTAATGATGCTCTGTTTATTGTTAGGATGACAAAATGGGTTATAGTTATAACTTTACGCTGGTGTAACTGCGCACGTTAATGTCAAAATGATTGAGATGGCCAATCAAATCAAAGTAGGCGGGGCTTTGTTGTTCAGAGATACCGAACCACATGACCAATCAGATCAAAGTAGGCGGGGCTTTGCTCTTCACAGATTCCGAACCACATGGCCAATCAGATCAAAGAAGGTGGGGCTTTGCTCTTCACAGATACCGAACCACATGACCAATCAGATCAAAGTAGGCGGGGCTTTGCTGTTCACAGATACCAAACCACATGGCCAATCAGATCAAAGTAGGCGGGGCTTTGCTCTTCACAGATACCGAACCACATGGCCAATCAGATCAAAGAAGGCGGGGCTTTGCTGTTCACCGATAGCGAACCACATGACCAATCAGATAAAAGTAGGCGGGGCTTTGCTGTTCACCGATAGCGAACCACATGACCAATCAGATCAAAGTGGGGGGGGCTTTGCTGTTCACCGATACCGAACCACATGACCAATCAAATCAAAGTAGGCGGGGCTTTGTTGTTCACCGATACAGAACCACATGACCAATCAGATCCAAATTGGCAATCAAATCCACTGCCACGCTTCAAGCTTAACAGTAAAAGAGTGCGAGATCAGATTTAAATATTTAAATGAGATAAATTTAGCTGTTTTGAATTAAAAATATATGATGAATAATTTCATGATTTGAGATTCACGTAATTCATAACTGAATGTGACAAAGCAAGAAATATTCTGCCATTTTTTACATATTAGGCAGACGAATAAGAATGCTTCTGTGTATTTTAAAATATTTCCAAATAGTTCAAATTGATTATTTTACAAAAAATGATTAATCTTGTTCTGTTTCTTATTTTCTTAAATTAATTTAAATTCTTTGGATATTTATTCCTATTACAACTCCAAATTACAAATATTTGGCAGCACAACTGTTGCAAACATTGATAATTCTAATAATAAATCAGCATATTAGAATGATTTCTGAAGATCATTTGACACTGAAGACTGGAGTAATGATGCTGAAAATACAGCTGCGCATCACAGAAATAAATTCTATTTTAAAGTATATTAAAATAGAAAAACTTTATTTTACATCATAATAATATTTCACAATATTACATTTTTTCCTGTATTTTTGATCAAATAAATGCAGCCTTGATGAGCAGAAGAAACTCCTGCAAAAAACATAAAAAATCGTTCTGATTCCAAACTTTTGACCGGTAGTGTATATCGGCCATCAAAAAATCCATATCAGTCAGTGAAATTGTAATCTGAATGATGCATAAAAACCTGTGAACGCTGCACATGTTAATCAAGCAGTCTCTTCCTGTCAGATTGAGCTGCATTGTGGTCGACGGTATTTTTAGAGCGTTGCGTGTGTCTGCAGATTCAGAAAGCGTTTGGTGTTGGAGAGCTATTAGATCGTCACTAATGGAACAGAACGTCCGTGCAGCTCAGCACTCAATGGAAATAAAATAAATACAACCACATCAGCACACACACACACACACACACACACACACTGGAGTGTTTGTTTACGAGTGTTTTCCTGCAGCTGATGTGACTCATCCACACCCACACATCCATTAGCACTCGCAACGCTAATAAGACGTCTATTGAGAACACTTACAGGTGTGTCACTCCAATGGATCTGTAGATGTTCACTGGAGCTCTGAACAGCCTGTTATGTGTGTGGAACATGTGATTCGATGAGACACACACACAAACACACACACACACTCACACACACACACACACTCACACACACACACACACTCGCACACACACACACACATTTAGTTTAACACTAAAATAACTAAAACCGAAATAAACATTAATAAAAACTATATAGACATTAAAAAATCTAATAAAAATGACAAAACCACAACAACACTTCTAAAGCTTATATATATATAAAATTTCTAAATATCAACAAAAACTATAGTAGTATCTCACTGTTTTTGATATTAAAAGAACACTAGTCTGAATCAGGGATATTTGAGTATAATTGAGATACTATTATAATTTTTTATGTAGATTTAGAATTTTTTTGTAATTTTTTTAAAATGTTAAAGATTTTGTTTGTAATTTTTTAAATTTTGTTTACTAATTTTAAATTAATATGTGTTTTATTTTTTATATATTTTTATTGTTTTTAATTAATATAATTATTATTATATTTTTTTTTTTAAATATGTCTATATAGTTTTCATTAATTTCTATTACAGTATTAGTTTTAGTTATTTTAGTACATCAAGTTAAACTAAAATGAATGATGTTTTATTTTACGTAACAAAAATTGTTTTATGGTTTTAGTTTTACTTACCTATAATAACACTGGTCTGAATACTATATTTCATATAATAAGCTAAATATATCCCAGTGGAAAAAAAAAAAAAAACCCTCAAAAACACACTTTAGAATCAGAAGTTAGTTGTGTTTGACGGCATTATGTTTTGTGACGGCAGCTCTGAAGCCGTGTGGGAAAGCGTGATCACCGCGAGCGCTCTACTAGCGTGTGAAACCGGAGCCACTGAAGCGCCCTACTTAGGGTTCTTCACAGGGCTGAAGTGAATGCACTCTATTCTCCTGCTATTGTGCTGCTGTTTGTAAGAGCCAGACGCACGCGGGACCCAGAGACGAGCGTAAACGAGCTCCAGTGTTTAATGGGATCACTTCATTATCTGCTGCTGTGTGTTTGGAGTTTCTTCAGCTCTCACTCTCTACTGGAACGGTCAATGATGATTTAACACATAAGCGTTAGTGTTGCAGTTAATGACACTAATTGATCTGGCTGTGATTTCTGCTTAACGAGGCTCAGCGAGAGTCATCAGACTGACAGGAAGAAGAAAAATCAATCTGGAAGTGATGCTGAGAGCAGTGCTGTGATTGGACCGAGATCATCACATGACAGCACAAGCGTGATGCTGATCACTTCAACAAACAAGTCGTTCATACCGAGTTCTGCGATTACTGTCTACTTTTAGTTTGTCGCGCTCAAGTGGTTTGTTGGTTTGCAGGTTTATTCTTGCGGAAATCAAATTAAAGCCAAAATGCAATTCAATCAATATCCACATTTGTGTCACATTTGTATCAAAC